TCAGTGTTATCAGTAGCACACGTCATATATATATATATATATATCTTAGACAAGTATGTGTGAATTCCCTAACGAGTCTTAACAAAGTTTGATTTGTTGATGAAGGAAATGGTGGTCACCATGATAACATTGTCTGCTTATTTGCTATTATTATTATTACTATTGTTTTATTTCAACTCTTAATGTTACTATTTATTCGTGATTCATTTAAAACTATCCTTTGTCACTACCAGTATCTTAACTCGAATTATTATTATGACTATTATTATTATTATTTTTATTATTACTATTATGAACGCAGGTCAGCGAAGCGATCTGTTTTCGTAACTTCACTTCAGAGTTGTGCAGTGATTTGCGTGAGGCGGGGTTATATTATTATTATTATTTTTATTATTCCCTAGGACTTCAAAAACACATCTCCACTTTGTCTTATTTTCTACTGTCCGCTTCAGCTGGGTCCACGATTGTCCATAATCTCTCATCTACTCCTCGCCACACGACGACCTCCATTATGTCTCTCTAGGACGGCGCACTCATTGTTTCCAATTCGGGTTCCACTCAAATGATGGCCACCCGACGTATATCTAATCCGTCTCCATTTCTTCCCACATATTTTTTGAGTGATCGGCTCTTGATTGGTTTGTTGCCAGCCAGCCAGCCAGAGTTTCTTGTTGCTAATTCTTTCTGGCCGGTCGGTTGGCCATTTCACATCTTCAGTATGCAACCAGCGAAGACAGCTGTTGATAAAAGTCTGAAGCTGGCTGTTGGAGATGCTTTCCGTGACTCTCTGGCCACGTTTGTGACCGGTTTAGAAGCGATGACTGGCGTAACATTTGTATTGAAAATTCAAATCTTGTTCATTATGCTGGCTGAGTGCAGAAGATTAACACACCGACTTCAGATTGATGCAGGTGTATCTTACCTTTTCGATTCTCGCTGGCTGACTGGCTTTCACATCTTTATCGGTTCCGCCAGCTGTGGTTGAAACCGTGCTTTCTAGAAAAGTGAAGGATGTGACCTCTTTCAAAGCTCTCCTGTTGATGGTTATTCGTGCTGTTTGTTGGTAATCTTCATCACTTCCGTCTTCTTTGTGTTCATCTGGAGTCCTGTCTTCGCTGCCAACATCCTCAGCCAGGATGTTGGTTTTCGACTGCAAGTCTTCAAGTTTGTTTATATATATATATATATATATATACATAAACAGCAGTAAAAGAGGAGGCTAGAGAGAGCGCGCGCAAGAGAGAGAGCATTTCTGAACACAAAGTTCGGGTTTTTCCTTCTGGATTGCTTAGGCTTCGGCTGCATGAAGAAGTTGTAGGCGAAATCGATTAGAACAGACAGCTTGATCGTACTTTATGCATGACTGAAGTCGAAGTTTGTGCTGATGTGCTGCGTGACCAGAAGTAATAATGTGCAGTTCTCGTTATTTGCAAATCCCTTCTCTGTTAACACTAATTGTTCGTTTAAGTGATACAAATGAAACGTTTTTGTTTTCGAAATTTCGTTACGTTCTCAGTGGAACACAAGGAGGCATCAACTTCAGTTTTGAAGTTTTGGTAGCAGTGGTATTTATTTTCACGCTATGGGTTTGCTGGCCTCATGCCCAAGCTTCACTCTTTACTGGTTTGATTACTAGCTTAGCAAAGTAAATGAGTGCCTCGTCGGTCGGTGATCGAACTCCCACCCCCCCGAACCATCTGCCTGGTTGACGCGCAAATGAACCGTAATGCATTATTATCTTAGTTATAATCTCTCACATATCTTCCTGTAAAGTTTTCTGCTGAACAATTCTACCCAAATTCAATGAATTCATTGAATCCAGCTTTATAAACTATTTGTTGCTTATTACGCCAACATTTACATATAAGTGCCTGATGAAAGCATAGTCTCATGTACAACTTTTTCAGAAACACAGCTAATTTCCTCTGTTAAAGATCACGTGTGACCTTTAAGTATTGTGTAATATAGAGGGGGGACATGGAACGTCCGCACCATGTATGAGACTGGCAAAGCTGCGCATATTGCAAATGAGTTGACAAGATATGGTATTCAAGTACTGGGAATATGTGAAAAAGGACGGAATGGGATTGGACTCACAAAATGGCTGGACTTATCCGGCATGTTGGTTGAAATTTCGCTCGGCAAATTTTTTTTGTCAATAATTTTTAATAAAACTTTGTTATATGTTTTCTGGATTGATAGGAATTCTCATTTCCTGGCGAGTTATGTTGGTGTCCGCGTCATTTAATCTGACTGCGACACACTTAGCATATTGGTTGTAATGATTAGTGTTTCATGCTGCACGCGTCAAAACATCTCTACAATGAAGAAGATGGGGTAGCTGGGGGGTAATGTCATCTACACAAATAGTTTATTTCTTGTAGAAGCTGCAGCTTTCGACATAGTGTCATTCAATGAAGACTACGTCAAAACGTGGCTATTTTCGTGTGAAGAACAGTACTATTTTACAAAAGAATGCTATCAGTACATGGGAATCACCCATAAATGCCAACAGAACGTAAAACCAATGTGTAAACGAACGGCTACGGAACTGCAATCCAACATAACCGACTAACATGGACGAAAATGACCTTTGAGCGTCTCACTCCATCAGTGACCTTGAGCATGCGGGATAATTTCAGCCCACAAAATTGCCAATGGGAGAGTCAGTGATCTACTCCGGTCACCCAGAAGACAACCACATGCACACCGAGGTTGTGGCTATCATGATGTCACTGACGGCAATGAAGGTCCTGATACAATGATAGGCCATCTCTCTCAGGATAATGACCACTATATTCAACTCAAAGGAAAGAGAGTGACAATTATACAATGCTATGCAGCCACAAACAACGCAGACCTCTAAAAGAAAAAAGAGTACTACAGCCAACAATGGATAATACTCCAGTCGGTGACATTAAAATTCTAATGGGCAACATGATCGCCAAACTGAGACCAGACAACACAAGAAGAGGAGCAGACGTCAGCTCACACCACTATCTCGTACAAGGAGTACTCCAAATCAAATTAAAAACTCAAAGAAACAGGTGATGAAGATGGATCACAAACCAAGTTCAATATTCGAAAACTGAAGGATCAGGATAGAAAGGATATCTTCACTGCAATCATAAGGAAAAAGGCATCCAGAGAAGATAGGACTTCCTTAAGGTGAAAATAGAGACAAAAGAGGTGAAGATTCCTGGCTGCGGGGAGCAGCAATAACAACAGTCAGCATAAATGGGAGGATTCTGAAAGAAGCGACCTCCTTTACCTACCTACCTGGGAAGCGTCGTTTCAACTACACTCGGACGGAACTGATGAGGATATGAAAGCAAGGATCAGGAAAGCAGAGCAAGCTTTCATTTCTCTCAAGTCTGTATTGAGGTCAACAGCATGAAAATTTGATCCGGATTTTCAACTCCAATGTGAAGTCAGTGCTACTTTACGGATCAGCGACTTGGCGCCGCGTCACAAAGGGCACTTCGAACAAACTACAGACTTTCATCAACAGCTGTCTTCACTCGAGAATCAGATGGTCAGTCAGAAAAGATCAGCAACAGAATGGGATCTCTGGCACTGAGGGAACCAACCCAGCAGGAACCAAATGTGAAACAAATATGGAGGAGGAAATGGAGGTAGACTGGCCATACTTTGAGGAAACAAACCATCAAGTGACATCACTAGACAAGCCATTGCTCGAGTGGAACCCGAATGGGAAGCGGCGAGTTGGTCGTCAGTGCAAGGGTGACTTGAAGGAGGTCATGTGAAGAGGAGATTAAAGCCTGTGGGCAAACTTTGAGCCAGGTGAAAACGTTGGCAGAGAACCGGACGCAGTGGAGATGTGCGGTTGAAGCCCTGTGTTCTTCTAGGTATTAAAGGAAACAATAATAATAATATAACGGACAGTGATCTTTGAATTTCAACGCTATTTTTTATCGCACGACGTGAGTTTTCACTTGAGTACAAATGTCGTATCGTAAATAAACAGAAGCATCAATCTAGGACGATATTGTACTTATTATACAGCTAAGCTATCGTTTTGAGGGAGACTGAATCAATCTATGAGAATGTGAAGCTACATCGATTGAGATGGGTAGGACAAGTGTTGCGCGCAAACCAAGCCACTGCCTTCCCCGAGGAGCGATGTCAGCTGATATAGGGTTGGTTCGGGAAGGAGTTGGGGATGGCAAAACCAAAACCTGGCGTCAGTCCTTAGCATCTCTGACAATTAGTTTGACTCACTTATTGGGGTGTATGGCATCAGCTTGTGGTCCTCGGGACACTAAGAACCACTCCCTGGAGACCATTGGTGATATTTCTTTAAATCGTTGCCAGTGGCGCAGATGCATTCACTCTTTATGACCTTCCATATCCAATACACCCTTATGTTTTTCCATGCTAATATTCTATCTCCTTCCCACCCTACATCTCTGTTTATTATAGTTCTTATCAATCTCTTTGTCTACATTTGTGTGCTGCTACATGGAGTGTGACAACTTGAACAGCTGCACTTCTTTGCAAAGTTCTCCGTTGAAACTCAGTCAGTTATGGTTTTTAGAATGAGCATACTTGATATGATGTGTAAGATACAATTAAGAATGATGGTATTATCACAAGACTGCTATCATGTATCTGCAGCCTTGAAGGAACTCATGTCCCTTCTGAGATCCAATACAGTTCTACAGGAGGTCAATCACGAGCCCGAATAGCTCTATAGTCTAACGTTTCTGACTGTAGCACTGGGTGACATGGGTTCGAAGGGGCATCATGACTTCCTTCAAGGTTTCAGACACACCTTGCTGACTGACTGGTTAGCACCAAACCCAGGTCGAAGGCTTCCTGCCGATCGCCTCCAACCATCTAATAATAACCAGTGTCTTTCTTAACCAGTAATTATGAATGAGAATACTGGCACTTTGATTATTTTGAACTATTCAAATTCATTTAGTAGTGCATCAACGACAAAGGTGATAATTTTTTTCTCTCTCTCTTTTATTTAGGAATATATACTACTATGTTGTCAGAAAGTATCTTATACACGTCCAGGTTTGAGTGTGCATACTAAAGACGACTCTTCAAGTGAAACATCATCTATGAAGAGAAGTTCAAGTCCGGAACAGAACATGCCTACTTTTGACGGTGGTGGACTAATTGATAAGCCTGGAACAAATCCTGATCCTTATCATACATGTTATGCATTAAGTGGACTAAGTCTGGCACAACATTCTCCTCGATATCATGGACCACCGCCAACAACAATAGACAAAAAGCAATCTGACAATCTTTCCTATCCATCCTCAGTTGTTGATCTATTGGGTGCAGAGTTTGGAAATGAACTGGCTGATTTAGATCCCTATCATAATATTATACATGACAGGCTAGCATTTGCTTTAACCTATTTTAGAGAGTTAGACAATGGTCAGTCGCCAGAATGTGCAGAACAATCGGCTTTAAAAGCTGCTGAAGAATTCTCTACACCTATAGCGTCAGTAATTCGTAAGGATAATATTCATATAGAGCTGCTTAGCTCGAAGACGGAAGATACTGATGAACAGTCGTCGTCTAGTTGTGTCGGCCGATACGCCGAATCTGATAAGCATACATGTACAGTACCATAATAAAATAACGTGAAATTTTTGTTTAACAAAAGGTTATTTTTATTCACTGCTAAAAAGAAGAAAAAAATATACAGATTTGAGAAGGTTATATAATTTTTTTTCACAGTTAATAATAATAATAAGGGCTAAGTTTTCCATTCTTTATTTTGTTTCTTGTAATCTCCAATCCAACCGCTTAAATTGTCGCCTTATTTACATCTGAGCTTGTAGTACAGGCATCAGTTAAACTACAATAATTGGCTGGAAGACCATAAAGCACAGTGGCACTGATGACTAGCGTGGATCCGAGGAACAAATATCTAATTGAAAATTCAAATAATAATGATAACGATAATAATATGTGGATATGCGCTTCTTATGATGCATGACAGAGAATGCATTCAAATCGTGGAGAATAGCCATCAGGAACTTAGAGAGAGAAATATTCATTAAAACAAGCAATAAATTCGTATCGAGAAATAAATGTTCACAAGGCAGTGAAGCAGAGTTACCGGTGGCCACAAAATGTAAGGTCATCCTTTCAAATTCTTTAGCGTATGTACACCTGAGCTTTGGAATCAGGGTTTCGTGAGGAACTCCCGCACCGCATGGTGAATAAGTCTTTCCAGGCAAATGCCATGAACGTGTTTCGAGAGGACGACAACAAATCCCATGTCGGTCACGTGTGGGGACAGATATTGTACTCGCATTTTTATACATAAGTTAGCATAGTTACAATCATCGTTTAGTGCTAACTGTACTATAACAAGTGGAGATTAATGGTATACGAATAGAACTTGGGCATTGTGGTGATGGAGTAAAATTCCATTATGGCGATTAGTGCATTGCAAACTGTAACATCGATTAGATGTAATACCATTTATATTATTATATTATTGTTCCCTTGTGTTCTTAGTGAAACATGTCTCCACTTGCTTCTGTTTTGTGCTGTACTTTTCACATGCATCCATGTTAGGCCATACTGTTTCAACTCCTCTTCACCCGATCTCCTCCATGTCACCCTTGGACGTCCCACTCGCCGCTTCCCTTTCGGGCTCCACTAGAGGGCCTGACCGGCGATGTCACCCAACGGCCTCCTCAGCGAGTGTCCAATCCATCTCTACTTTCTCCTGCATATTTGTTGAGCGATTGGTTCTTGTTTTGTTTGTTCCCATAGTTTCTTGTTGGTGATTTTTTCCGGCCGTCTGATCTTGAGTATAAAGCGAAGACAGTTGTTGATAAAAGTCTGCAACCTGTTGGAAATATTCTTTGTGACCCGCCAAGTTTCTGATCCGTATAGAAGAACTGATTTGACGTTTGTACTGAAAATCTGAATTTTGTTGTTGATGCTGAGTGACGAAGATTTCCAGATTGGTTTCAGGTTGATGAATGTGTTTCTTGCCTTCCCGATTCTCGATTTGACATCCTCGTCCGTTCCTCCTGTAGTTGAGACAATGCTCCCTAGATAAGTGAATACCATGTACCTAGCCAGAAATTGGCTGGTTTCCATTGATTCGGGTCTCTGAGCTGAGTCAAGTCTCGCAGACGACTTCTGATGAGCTTAGCCCGAAACGAGTGAAGCGGCTGTTCGATGTTTAGATCACTTCGGTCTGCGGCTAGCAAGCGCCTGCCTGTGGTTGATCTGGCCTCAGTGATATCTAACTAGTAACGTTAATCAATCCGTAGTGTATAAGCTTCATGCGACTATAATATTATCAAGTGTTTTTTATGTGCTTACCTATTTCCTTCGTAGTAAATTTTGTAAGCTAGTGGCAATTGAACAGCTTAATCGTCCAATTATATTACACTGGTGCTTGAGAACATAAGTTGACAGCATACTCAACCTGGTTTCAAGACCCATACATTTGTGTTTGTTAGTTTTGCCTGTAAGTCTTCGAGTTTGTGTTCCACTGAACATAAGTCGTCGGCGAAGTTCAGATATTCTAAAGTCTTCTCATGAGTCAGTGCAACGTCCTTCTGTCTTCTTGCTACCCAAAGTCTTCTAGGTGCACCAGTCCACCACATTTACGAATATCATCGGTGATAATAGGCAACCTTGTCTTACTCCAGTATTCACTTCAACTGTTTGCTGAGTTTTTCTTTGTGGATCACCTAACAAATGACTGTTGTTGAATGAGGTTGATAAAGACTTGAGCACTGCACGTCAAAATGTTGAAGTAGTTTGCAATTTACGTCTCGGTCAATGCTGTCTGGTGAAGGTCTTTTCGAAGTCAATGAAGTTGAAGCAGAGAGAGGTTTGACTGCTTTTCTATGTTTTGTTCTGTGATGACGATGCGTAGAGTTGATGTTTGACTAGCACATGATTTGCCTTTCCTGATTCCGGCCAGCTTGTTCCAGTAGGGCGGATTTCTGTATCCATTACATCCTTTATTCTCTTTAGGATGATGCGACTTAGAATTTTACTTGGCGTGAACAAGAGCATGATTCCACGACAGTTCTTGCACAGGCCTAGGTCGCGCTTCTTTGGCAATTTGACGAGGTAGCCGCTCTTCCAATCGGTAGGTACTTTCCTTCTTTCCAAACCTTTTGCAACAATGGCGTGAGCACATCTGCCAGTCTCTGGGTCCTGTCGCCGTTCCGGCTAACGTTCAGTAACTTGATCGGATTTCTGATTTAGTTGAAGGATTGGTGTCCACTGGCAGGCAATTTCATGCGAGCTGTTCATGGTATTTCTGGACGAGTTGCAGGTGATGGTCGATTCCAGAGTCCTTTGCAGTGATCAACCCATTGTTTTATTTGTTTCTCCTCCTTGGTCATTAGGTTCCCTTGAACATCTTTTATGGGTTTCACCTGCGTTGAGCTCTTCCCGGATAGCGACCAGCCTGTTCTGTTTCAGTTGCCGGCCACTCTTCTCCACTTCTTTGTTCAGTGCAGTGTACATTGCTGTGGACTTAGCTTCTCCTTCTGTTATCCATCTTTGCATTGAGTTATCTTCTCTTTCACCATCCTCCTCTCTTCTATTAGCTTCTAGGTAGGTGTCCGTCGGGGGCTATTCCTTGTCTTGTCTCTTCTTCCTTCTTAGAACAGTTGTACACGTTTCCTTGAACATCGCCTTCAGAGAGTTCCAATGTTCATCAACACCAGTTTCCTTAGAGATGCCATACAGTGTCTCCCACTTAGAGCTGGTATCTACAGACAAAATAGGCATTACGTTAACTTTTTGACATTCTACTCTGAAGATGCCATTGGTCGTAGTGATGAAGCTTTCGCAAGCAATGCAGCAAGTTTCAGAGAACATCAAAGAAAATTCCCTTCTTCATTCTAAGCTATAAATCCCGTACTTTCTAATTGTGTCTAACGTCAGTGAGCCCCTTATCTGCATTAAAGATAAATACAGATCACAACAAAAAGAAAACCCAATTTCCAACTTACATGTTTGGAGTGAGGTCATCGAATACAAAGTAGGAGATAAGCGTCGATAGAATCACAGATAAACCCATAGAAAAACTTTTCAAAATATTGTCAGCATATTTCATTACAAATGCTATCGCCAATCCACCGAATGCTTGAAGTATGATAACTATCCATACTATAGGCGTGTAACCATGAAAGAAACCGAGGCTTTTCACCTTGGCTGCATCGTTCATATAGACGCCCAACAAACTAATCGGTACACCACAAAGAGCTGAAATATCACATTAATAATAATAATGATAATAGTGGCATTATTCCAAAACAGTCCGTTTGTTACAGTGTAGAATTTACCGCATGTAATACAATATTGCATCTAATTTACTCTTTACCTTACGTAAGAGGAGGAGAGGAATAATTTTCAGGAGTTAGTGTTTGTAGGGACCATGGATTGATTTCAGTGAGAGAAAAACCACTGAAAACTGGGGAGTACTGGACAGCTGTTTCATCCTAGTGCTCGACTCATTGGCAATACGCACCCACCACAGGGGTTCGAAGCTAATGTCTACACGTTCGGGAATGAGGACGAATACTTGTCACGGATGATATTAACTGGCGCCGCTCGCGCTAAAATCATGGGCAAGTGAGTTAGATCCCAGTGACTCGATGGTCCGCGAGCCTACCTTGCAACCGGAAGGTCGTACGTTCGAACCCCCGGTGGGTGCGTGCTGCCACTGAGTCCCGAACTAGGATGAAACAGATGTCCAACACTCCCTGGTTTCCAATGTTTCTCTAGCTGATGTCAGTCCGAGGAAATAATTAACAGGCGATTTACACTGACAAGGATATGAATGTAAAATTAAGTAGAAATAGTATATATATATATATATATATATATATATATATATATATATATATATACAATTGGGGTCGTCCTTTTCTCTAAAGTGGAGAGGCAGCATACTTGGCTGGCATGTTGGTCATCTGAGGGAAACACCTCACTGCTGTTACATCCCTGTTCCCCAGCAGTACGACGGCCTACAGACCCACAGCATAGTGTAAAAAAATTCTTACACATTGTCGGTAACTGCTTTAAGTCTAATCGCTATCCTAACAACCTTCTTGGCATAGTAGGACCTGCAGGAAACAATAGTTCCAGCCAGTGTAGCTTGTTGGGTCATTGTGGTATGCAAGCCCGACTACGACGTCAAGGTAGCAACTATCGGTCGGTGTGCTGCATTGATGGACGCTGCCAATCGGTATTTCTATTGTAAAAGTTGGTCAATATTATATCTGGCGAAGCTGTCGTCAGAAAACTAAATGCCGTATTAACCAGTAGCCAAATTCCAGCACAAAGTTAACCGCAAAGCTCTAGTTTCATGTTCGAAACCTTCTGTAGTCGACACTGTCCTCCCCCGCCCCCATCCTCACTAACTTTTTGTTTGAGTGAGTACACTTGGAATAGATGACTTAGTAGAAACAGCTTTCATATTTCTTTCAATGTCACTAATGTATTTTTATTGATTTTTACGTACTCAGTTTAAAAATATACCATTTCTAATTTACAATTCATATTCTGTCTATTGATCATGCTGGTGGTATATATATATATATATATATATATATATATATATATATACATTGTTGTAACCTTCAAGAAATGTATATACAAATAAACAACATTCTGATGAATGACCATTACTGGAAACATTGGTTTCACAAGCAATCCGAAGAAATCTGTTTCCTTTTATTGAGTGATTCATACACGACTAGGTAGGAAGACAAATTTCGTGAGATAATAATAATAATAATAGTAATTTGCTTTATTCCAAAACAGTACTTGTGATACAGAATGGAATTCTCAGCATTTTTTACTACAGTATTGCATCCAGTTAGTACATTATCAATAAATAGAATTCTACATAGAGATGATATCTTCATTTCGTAG